TGGAGTAACCGTGAACCAGATGGGGTAACTGTGAACCAGATGGAGTAACCGTGAACCAGATGGAGTAACCGTGAACCAGATGGGGTAACCGTGAACCAGATGGAGTAACCGTGAACCAGATGGAGTAACCGTGAACCAGATGGAGTAACCGTGAACCAGATAGAGTAACCGTGAACCAGATGGGGTAACCGTGAACCAGATGGAGTAACTGTGAACCAGATGGAGTAACCGTGAACCAGATGGAGTAACCGTGAACCAGATGGAGTAACTGTGAACCAGATGGAGTAACCGTGAACCAGATGGGGTAACCGTGAACCAGATGGAGTAACCGTGAACCAGATGGGGTAACTGTGAACCAGATGAGTAACCGTGAACCAGATGGGGTAACTGTGGACCAGATGGAGTAACTGTGAACCAGATGGGGTAACTGTGAACCAGATGGAGTAACTGTGAACCAGATGGGGTAACTGTGAACCAGATGGGGTAACCGTGAACCAGATGGAGTAACCGTGGACCAGATGGAGTAACTGTGAACCAGATGGAGTAACCGTGAACCAAATGGCGTAACTGTGAACCAGATGGGGTAACTGTGAACCAGATGGAGTAACTGTGCACCAGATGGAGTAACCGTGAACCAGATGGGGTAACCGTGAACCAGATGGAGTAACCGTGAACCAGATGGGGTAACTGTGAACCAGATGGAGTAACTGTGAACCAGATGGAGTAACCGTGAACCAGATGGGGTAACCGTGAACCAGATGGAGTAACCGTGAACCAGATGGGGTAACTGTGAACCAGATGGGGTAACTGTGAACCAGATGGAGTAACCGTGAACCAGATGGGGTAACTGTGAACCAGATGGAGTAACTGTGAACCAGATGAGGTAACTGTGAACCAGATGGAGTAACTGTGCACCAGATGGAGTAACTGTGAACCAGATGGAGTAACTGTGCACCAGATGGAGTAACCGTGAACCAGATGGAGTAACTGTGCACCAGATGGGGTAACCGTGAACCAGATGGGGGAACTGTGAACCAGATGGGGTAACCGTGAACCAGATGGAGTAACCGTGAACCAGATGGGGTAACTGCGGACCAGATAGACAACACAGATAACAAGAGACGCAACGAGAGAAAAAAAGGTAACTTTTGTTTAATATATATATGTTTAATGTTTGTATTTTGGCGACATAAAATATACTTTAATAGGAGCATTGCCTATTTATATATTTATTTTTTATATTTTAACATTTTGCGACCGACAAGGGTGAAGCTCGCCCACGTGATGCTTGAGAGGCCTCGCCCCCCCCCCACGTCTCCTCGCGATTGTCACTCGGCACGAACACCCCGAGAGCGCATCAATGCTGCCCTGACAGCCCCATCCACTCCCTGCTGCCCTCATCACTCCACCATCTCCCTGCTGCCCTGACAGCCCCATCCACTCCCTGCTGCCCTCATCACTCCACTATCTCCCTGCTGCCCTCATCACTCCACCATCTCCCTGCTGCCCTGACAGCCCCATCCACTCCCTGCTGCCCTCATCACTCCACCATCTCCCTGCTGCCCTCATCACTCCACCATCTCCCTGCTGCCCTGACAGCCCCAGCATCTCCCTGCTGCCCTCATCACTCCACCATCTCCCTGCTGCCCTGACAGCCCCATCCACTCCCTGCTGCCCTCATCACTCCACCATCTTCCTGCTGCCCTCATCACTCCACCATCTCCCTGCTGCCCTGACAGACCCATCAACTCCCTGCTGCCCTCATCACTCCACCATCTCCCTGCTGCCCTCATCACTCCACCATCTTCCTGCTGCCCTGACAGCCCCAGCATCTCTCTGCTGCCCTCATCACTCCACCATCTCCCTGCTGCCCTGACAGCCCCATCCACTCCCTGCTGCCCTCATCACTCCACCATCTTCCTGCTGCCCTCATCACTCCACCATCTCCCTGCTGCCCTGACAGCCCCATCCACTCCCTGCTGCCCTCATCACTCCACCATCTTCCTGCTGCCCTCATCACTCCACCATCTCCCTGCTGCCCTCATCACTCCACCATCTCCCTGCTGCCCTGACAGCCCCATCCACTCCCTGCTGCCCTCATCACTCCACCATCTTCCTGCTGCCCTGACAGCCCCATCAACTCCCTGCTGCCCTCATCACTCCACCATCTTCCTGCTGCCCTGACAGCCCCAGCATCTCCCTGCTGCCCTCATCACCACATCATCTCCCTGCTGCCCTGACAGACCCATCAACTCCCTGCTGCCCTAACAGCCTCATCATCTCCTGCTGCCCTGACAGACCCATCAACTCCCTGCTGCCCTCATCACCCCATCATCTCCCTGCTGCCCTCATCACTCCACCATCTCCCTGCTGCCCTGACAGACCCATCAACTCCCTGCTGCCCTCATCACCCCATCCACTCCCTGCTGCCCTTCCACACGACGCCTCCATATCAAGAGAGGACAAAGCAGCCCACACCACCCTCTCTCTACTTTCAACAACAACAATCATCATTAAGGCTCTTTTTCCCCTCTTACAACTCTCCACATTGTTAATTAACCGTGACCCATCTTTTAAAAAAAAACACAAAAAACTGACGATAATTATTTTGGCGATTGCTGCTGCCGCCGCTGCGTTGGCAGTGGTTTCAAAAGCACAACGATGACAATGGCCTGCGTACATCCGTCAAGAACAACTGCGTGCGTGTGTGTGTGTGGCCTTAAAAGGACAAAAAAATATATATATTACAGGCGACGTTTCGGGCTACAGACCTTAGTTCAAAGCGCACAAACGGCACGTCGGCACGCCGACATCGAACAAATGCGGCGGTCACCGCGGCCGTCTGGAACGTTCTTCCCTGCGATTGGGAGCTTTGCAATTCTTAAATCATCATCGTCGTCGTCATCGTCGTCATCGAGATTGACAAACTCGTTACTTTAGAACTGCTGCTTGCGTCTAGTTCGTTGTCTTCCCCCCCTCCCCCCCCGGCACCTCAGATTACCACGTTTGGCTACGTACGGTGTGAAAGAAGTTCAACTTACATACATGGATAGCCAAAGACTCCTCACACAGAGACCCATAGACTCATCACACAGAGACCCATAGACTCATCACACAGAGACCCATAGACTCATCACACAGAGACCCATAGACTCACTCACACAGAGACCCATAGACTCCTCACACAGAGACCCATAGACTCATCACACAGAGACCCATAGACTCATCACACAGAGACCCATAGACTCATCACACAGAGACCCATAGACTCATCACACAGAGACCCATAGACTCACTCACACAGAGACCCATAGACTCCTCACACAGAGACCCATAGACTCATCACACAGAGACTCATAGACTCATCACACAGAGACCCATAGACTCATCACACAGAGACCCATAGAATCCTCACACAGAGACCCATAGACTCACTCACACAGAGACCCATAGACTCATCACACAGAGACTCATAGACTCATCACACAGAGACCCATAGACTCATCACACAGAGACCCATAGACTTCTCGCACAGAGACCCATAGACTCATCACACAGAGACCCATAGACTCATCACACAGAGACCCATAGACTCATCACACAGAGACCCATAGACTCCTCACACAGAGACCCATAGACTCATCACACAGAGACCCACAGACTCACCACACAGAGACCCATAGACTCCTCACACAGAGACCCATAGACTCATCACACAGAGACCCATAGACTCATCACACAGAGACCCATAGACTCCTCACACAGAGACCCATAGACTCACCACACACAGACCCATAGACTCCCAAACACAGAGACCCATAGACTCACTCACACAGAGACCCATAGACTCATCGCACAGAGACCCATAGACTCCTCACACAGAGACCCAGACTCACACAGAGATCCATAGACTCATCGCACAGAGACCCATAGACTCATCACACAGAGAGAGCCATAGACTCTCACCACACAGAGACCCATAGACTCACACAGAGACCCATAGACTCATCGCACAGAGAGAGCCATAGACTCACCACACAGAGACCCATAGACTCACCACACATAGACCCATAGACTCACCACACAGAGATCCATAGCCTCATCGCACAGAGACCCATAGACTCCTCACACAGAGACCCATAGACTCACACAGAGACCCATAAACTCACCACAAAGAGACCCATAGACTCACTCACACAGAGACCCATAGACTCCCACAGAGACCCATAGACTCACTCACACAGAGACCCACATACTTACACAGAGACCCATAGACTCATCACACAGAGACCCATAGAGGGCTACGTACGGCGCGAAAGAAGTGCACACAGCACGTGTCTCTCTCTCTCTCTCAGGAGGCAGGAGTGGAGGGGCACGTGTGAGAGGGAGGGCCCAGGCGTATCGACATCAGCAGCAGCTCCCTGGCGAGAGCCGATGACGATGACGGAGACGATGGTGATGGCGATGGTGATGACGGAGACGATGACGATGGCGGAGCGGCGGGCGAAGACGCGGATCGCGATATTTTGACGAAGGGGGTTGAAAATGATTGTTGAAAAACGTCATTAAAATTATGAAGATTAACAATTATTATTTATTGATTTATTGTTGAAAATTATTGTTGAAAAACGTTATTAAAATTGTTAGGATTAACAATCGTTATTTATTAATTTATTGTTTACAATTATTATTGAAAAACGTTATTTAAAATTATTATGATTAACAATTATTATTTATCGATTTATTGTTTAAAGTGATTATTGAAATAACTGTTATTTAAAATTATCGCAAATTCTTATTTAAAATTATAATAATTTCTAATCATTATTTAAAGTATTATTTCATATTATTATTGAACATTATTACTTTAGAAAATAATTCTTTAAAACAGGCTTATTTGAACCCTGATCTTTTACCCCCCCCCCTTCCACTGCCGCCCCCTTCCCATGTCAGAGGTCATCTTCACCCCCCCCGTAACGCGTCACAGGAGTCATCCGCAGACCTCACCGGTCACCCCGACCACGTGGTCGGCTCGTGCGCTCAACAGCGCCGGTTACCCCCCCCTCCACCACGACACCCAGGCACACGCAGAGACACTTGGGGACATCCAGTAAGATCCGTCGCGAACGCGAGGGCAGTAAGTTGCCTTGCGGGGGGGGGGGGGGGGCACGGGTTGGCGGTGGAGGGGGGGGTGCGCATGAGATACTGACCGATTGGCGCGGTTTGGTTACGTACGGTGCGAAAGAAGTTCAACGCACGTGCGTACATACGCACGCTACGTACGCACGGGGAAGGTTTCATTCCCCCCCCCCCCACCGGCTGCTCGCCCGTGCCGAGCCGGGAAGCGAAACGGCGTCTGCAGGCCGGGAAGGGGGTGAGGGCCAAGCAGGGCCAGGGGGCGTGGCCAGAACGACGCGTTGGTTCGTTGGCCACGCCCATCGCTCGTGACGTCAGTTGGCCACGCCCATCGCGCGTGACGTCAGTGGGCAGGGCTCGGCTCGGCTTCAGAAGTGGAAAAAAAAATCAACGCCGGAACGGCTCGGTTGTGTCCAGTGGAGAAGGGAGGTGAATCTGTCGCGGGTTTGCGCCGACCGTTCTCACCGCGGGGATTTAAAAAGTGACGGTGCGCCAAACGCCACGGTGGCCAGGAGATGTTAACTACCTCGCCTGGTACGCAGGAGGTCGTGGGTTAGATCCCGACCCTGACGATGCCTGCTGCTGTATATTTGGAGTTTGCGTGTTTCTCTCTCATCATCATCACGGTGGCTAGGAGATGTTGACTACCTCGCCTGGTGTACAGGAGGTCGTGGATTCGATCCCGACCCTGACGCCTGCTGCTGTATATGTGGAGTTTGCGTGTCTCTCTCTCGCATCATCATCATCATGGTGGCTAGGAGATGTTAACTACCTCGCCTGGTGTACATGAGGTCGTGGATTCGATCCTGACCCTGACGCCTGCTGCTGTATATTTGGAGTTTGCGGGTCTCCCTCTCATCATCATCATCATCACGGTGTCTAGGATATGTTTGTTGTTATTGTTGTTGCTGTGCTCGTGCATGAACCACGGATCTCCCTTTTGTGAAATAGCCGGGAAAATGCGGCTACACGGTGAGATCATCGTCATCATCATCGTCATTATCATCGTCATCATCGTTATCATCGTCGTCGTCATCGTCATCATCGTCGTCATCATCATCGTCATCATCATCGTCATCATCATCGTCATCATCGTCATCGTCATCATCATCATCGTCATCATCATCATCGTCATCATCGTTGTCGTCATCAGCGTCATCGTGTAACAACTCAAATAAACTAAAACTCCGGGACACCCGGAAACATTCAAGGAGGTCTAAAACACACAGACACCTTTGGGTGTACAGCCACCGGATGATTGAAGACATCGAGAGACACGTCCAAGACGTCTGGAGAAAGCCTTGGACACCTCGAGAGAGAGAGGGGGAGACCGCAGGGAGACTTGGAGATACTCAAGACTCCCCAGAGACCGTCAGGGACACTTAGGAAGATTGGTGATTCGAGAAAACTGGAGACGCAGAGACACCCCAAACTTTGAAGACACCTCGAGACAACCCCAGAGATGCTCAGGGACACCCAGCGAGTTTGGAGAGACTCAGGGACATCCAGGGATACACAGGGACACCCAGGGACACCCAGGGACACACACAGACACACACTGACACCCAGAGACACCCAGTGACACCCAGGGACACCCAGGGACACCCATTAAGATTCAAAGACCGTGCCGGAAGACTCGCAGGGAGACACGCCGGGAGACACGCCGGGAGGCACGCCGGGAGACACGCCGGGAGACACGCCGGGAGACACGCAGTGAGACATGCCGGGAGACACGCCGGGAGACACGCCGGGAGACACGCCGGGAGATGCGGGGAGCAATGGTGTCCGCTTCAGACGGTGGTGGTGAGCGCCGGCTCCACCGAGTGGCACCGCAGCAGCGCCCTCCTGCGCGCGGCGGGCCCATCCAGCCCCGCCGGCCCCACGGGCACCACGTGGGCCACGCTCACCTGGGGCCCCGGCCCATTGAACCGGCCCCCCGCGACCCCCAGGCCGCCGGGGCCGGCCCCCCACCAGCCACCGCCGGCCTGCGGCCCCGCCACTCCGGCGCCCGGCCGCCCCCAGCCCGGTCCGAACCCCGTGCTCGCCTTGCCTTGCTGCGGCCTCGCGTCGCCGCGGCGCCAGGCGTCGCCACAGTAACCGTCTCCGAGGAAACCGTCCCTGAGGCAACCGGCGCTACCCGCGTGCATCGGGTTGCCGCGGAGACCGTTGCTGCCGTGGGGGAGCTTGGCGACGCCGTGGAAACTGTGCCCCTGGAAACCGCTGCGGGGGAAAGCGTCGGCGTGGAAACCGTCAGCGTGGAAACCGTCGGTGTGGAAACCGTCGCCGCGGAAACCGTTGCCGTGGAAACTGTTGCCGCGGAAACCGTTTCCGCCGCCATCGTTAAAACAAAAGCCGTCGCCGCGGAAACCGGCATTCCCTTGCAGGGGTCCTCCACTGCCGAAGCGGTTGTCGTGGAAACCAGCGGCGCTGGGGTAACAGCGGTCGGCCGAGGCGAAGCCACCACCACCACCACCATCGTCGTCACCGCCGCCATCGTCATCGTCGTCGTCGTTGTCGCCGTCGCAGGACCCCGGGCAGCCGCAGCTCGTCACTTCCTCGCAGCAGCAGCAGCAGCTGCCGCAGCTTCCGCCCACGAGCGGCGCCCAGTCCCCGCCGGCGTCGCCGGCCCGGCACAGGCGGCGCACGGACAGCGGCGCCGCGTAGTCCGCGCACTCGGCCGCCGCCGCCGCCGCCATCTTCCCCCTCTCGGCGGCAAAGAAGTCCCAGATGGAGCGGGAGGACGTGGAGACGAGCGGACGCCCCGTGCCGCCGCCAAAACCGCCGCCGCCGCCGTCGCCCCTGTTCCGGCCCGGCGCCCCGAACGTGGTGGCGCGTTTGAACGGCGCCGACTCGATGGGCGGCGGCGGCCGCCACTCGGCGACGCGGTCGAGCGACGCCGACTTGCAGCGGCGCACGGCGGCCTTCGACGGCGGCGGCGGCTGCGGTTGCCGCTGTTGTTGCGGCTGCGGCTGCTGCTTGTTCGCCGCGCGCTTGCCCGCGTGCAGGCGCCCGCCGGTGAGGAACTGCGAGACGCCGCGCACGATGCCGTGCTTCATCGGCGGCACGCTCGCCACCAGCCGCGTCGCGCGCCGACCCGGCGGCGACGGCGACGGCGGCGGCGACGGCAGCGGCAGCGGCGGCGGTGCTGCCGGTGGCGGAGGGGGGACGGAAGCTTTCGAACTGGACGACGATGACGACGACGGCAACGGCGATGCGGTCGGGAGGACATGAGGCAGGAGGAGAGGAGGGGGAGGAGGAGGGGGAAGAGGGGGGGAGCGCAGCGACAACCTCACGCTCATCTCGGAATCTTCTCCGGCGGCGGCGTTCGCCGCGGCCGGGAGCGACGGCACGGAGGAGCCCCTGCTGGACGACGACGAGGACGAGGACAGCGAGGAGGAGAACGAGGCGGCGGCGGCCTTCGACGAGGCGAGCGCCGGGGCCTTCGCCGCCACCCCCGCCGCCGCTTGCCGCCACTTCCTCCTCTCCAGGAGGCGGGCGATGTAATCGTCCGGCTTGCCGGCCGACGGGAGACGCTCGGCAAACGGCGCGGAGCGCGGCGCGGCTTCTCCGTCGGTGGAAGTTGCGGCAGGGGCGGCGGATTCTCCAGTCGTGCACGCTCCGCCGGATGATGTGCCGGATGATGTGCCGGATGATGTGCCGGCTTCACCGGACGTGCTCGATCGGCTCGATATGCCGGACGTCATGCCAGACCGACCGGATTTGCCGGACGTGCCGGATCCCCCAGACGCGCCGGATGCGCGGAGAGCTCCAGCCGCGCCGGAATTGGCAGACGCGCGAGGTGTTGGGGGCGTGCCGGACGTGTCAAGTGCACCGGCTCCTCCGGGTTCGCTGGATTCGGTGGAATCGCCGGGGGGGGCGTCGCCGTCACGGAGCAGCAACAGCGCGGGGCTCTGGATGGCCACGGCGTGCAGCGCGCTCGGGTAGCGGTACAGCCCCGAGCCGTCCAGGCTGGGCACGTCCCGAGCAAAGCGGCGAGTGCCGGGGCTCACCGGGGATGCTACGGAGGGGGGGGGGGGGCCCGGTGGGAAAGGGGGGTTAAGGGAGGTGACGGTCACCAACAACCGCGCAAAGACCCCCCCCCCCATGAAACCTCATTATTAGGAAGACACTGGAGCTATGCACTTTTAAATCATCTCTATTGAACACCAATTTATTTTAAACTGCGTTGTGTTTAGTTTTGTTGTTCCTTCTCCCCCGCACCTCCGTTTAGCGCGGTTGGCTACGTACGGTGCGAAAGAAGTTCAACATACACACTGCCCATAGACTCAACACTGCCCATAGACTCAACACTGCCCATAGACTAACACTGCCCATAGACTCAACACTGCACCATAGACTCAACACTGCCCATAGACTAACACTACCCATAGACTCAACACTACCCATAGACTCAACACTGCCCATAGACTAACACTGCCCATAGACTCAACACTGCCCATAGACTCAACACTGCCCATAGACTCAACACTGCCCATAGACTCAACACTGCCCATAGACTCAACACTGCCCATAGACTCAACACTGCACTATAGACTCAACACTACCCATAGACTCAGCACTGCCCATAGACTCAACACTGCACCATAGACTCAACACTGCCCATAGACTCAACACTGCACCATAGACTCAACACTGCCCATAGACTAACACTGCCCATAGACTCAACACTACCCATAGACTCAACACTGCCCATAGACTCAACACTGCACCATAGACTCAACACTGCACCATAGACTCAACACTACCCATAGACTCAACACTACCCATAGACTCAACACTACCCATAGACTCAACACTACCCATAGACTCAACACTGCCCATAGACTCAACACTACCCATAGACTCAGCACTGCCCATAGACTCAACACTGCCCATAGACTCAACACTGCCCATAGACTCAACACTGCCCATAGACAACACTGCACCATAGACTCAACACTGCCCATAGACTCAACACTGCCCATAGATTCAACACTGCCCATAGACTCAACACTGCCCATAGACTCAACACTGCCCATAGACTCAACACTGCCCATAGACTCAACACTGCCCATAGACTCAACACTGCCCATAGACTCAACACTGCCCATAGACTCAACACTGCCCATAGACTCAACACTACCCATAGACTCAACACTACCCATAGACTCAACACTGCCCATAGACTAACACTGCCCATAGACTCAACACTGCCCATAGACTCAACACTGCCCATAGACTAACACTGCCCATAGACTCAACACTGCCCATAGACTCAACACTGCCCATAGACTCAACACTGCCCATAGACTCAACACTGCACCATAGACTCAACACTGCCCATAGACTCAACACTGCCCATAGACTCACACTGCCATAGACTCAACACTGCACTATGACTCAACACTACCCATAGACTCAGCACTGCCCATAGACTCAACACTGCACCATAGACTCAACACTGCCCATAGACTCAACACTGCACCATATACTCAACACTGCCCATAGACTAACACTGCCCATAGACTCAACACTACCCATAGACTCAACACTGCCCATAGACTCAACACTGCACCATAGACTCAACACTGCACCATAGACTCAACACTACCCATAGACTCAACACTACCCATAGACTCAACACTGCCCATAGACTCAACACTGCCCATAGACTCAACACTACCCATAGACTCAACACTACCCATAGACTCAACACTGCCCATAGACTCAACACTACCCATAGACTCAGCACTGCCCATAGACTCAACACTGCCCATAGACTCAACACTGCCCATAGACTCAACACTGCCCATAGACTCAACACTGCACCATAGACTCAACACTGCACCATAGACTCAACACTGCCCATAGACTCAACACTGCACCATAGACTCAACACTGCCCATAGACTAACACTGCCCATAGACTCAACACTACCCATAGACTCAACACTGCCCATAGACTCAACACTGCACCATAGACTCAACACTGCACCATAGACTCAACACTACCCATAGACTCAACACTACCCATAGACTCAACACTGCCCATAGACTCAACACTGCCCATAGACTCAACACTACCCATAGACTCAACACTACCCATAGACTCAACACTGCCCATAGACTCAACACTACCCATAGACTCAGCACTGCCCATAGACTCAACACTGCCCATAGACTCAACACTGCCCATAGACTCAACACTGCCCATAGACTCAACACTGCACCATAGACTCAACACTGCACCATAGACTCAACACTGCCCATAGACTAACACTCTCTCTCGTTCTCTCTTTTTTTTACTTTTAAACTATTTTTATTGCCGCCAGCAGCAACAGCACTGGAGGCGATTTCGACACGCAATACAAAGTCAGCAGCAACAACTAACACATCAAACACAATAAAAACACGCGCGCTGTGGCGATGGACGTGGCCAAAAGTCTCTCTCTCAGCTCACTCACCAGGATCGCTGTGATCCCAGCTGCCCGGGGTCGTGACCTGCTCGTCGCTGCCCTCTGATTCGTCGGATTCGGAGCCGACGCGGCGATCGGGTCCTCCGCTCCACTCGGAGAAACCTGCCGGGTTCACAAAGTCGCCGCTGTTACTGGTCGCGAGCGGGAACTCAACTCGGGTCCCCGGTTCTTTGAGGTGCAGTGCGCTAACCACTACGCCACGGTTCCTCGTGCACACTCACGCGCACAAAGACAAAGATCCCCCGTGTAGCTCTTGGGGCAAGTGGCTGCTAGCGAGTGGCAGCCACCGATGAAGGCCGGCACGGCGCACGACGGGGCGGTTGGACAGCGCCACGCCCCGGCCGTCTTTGTCTCCCCAGTGGGGATGTTTACACTCTGCACCGGTTATTGATTTAAGGTCGAGTCGACCTAAGGGAAGCCCGGGACAACACGCACTCACTCGTGCACGCTGTAGGCGGGGAACGAGTGGACCAATTTGAGTCCAGAAACTAGCCCCGACTTTAGTCAGTCCACTGCTGGATGATGGCCTCCCTGAGCCGTGCGGGTCATGCACACTACACGTGCCCAATGATTGCTCAACACGCTGTCCCATCTAACCCGGCTACCCTACCTAACCCGGCTACCCTACCTAACCCGGCTACCCTACCTAACCCGGCTTTCCTACCTAACCCGGCTACCCTACCTAACCCGGCTACCCTACCTAACCCGGCTACCCTACCTAACCCGGCTACCCTACCTAACCCGGCTACCCTACCTAACCCGGCTACCCTACCTAACCCGGCTACCCTACCTAACCCGGCTACCCTACCTAACCCGGCTACCCTACATAACCCGGCTACCCTACCTAACCCGGCTACCCTACCTAACCCGGCTACCCTACCTAACCCGCTACCCTACCTAACCCGGCTACCCTACCTAACCCGGCTACCCTACCTAACCCGGCTACCCTACCTAACCCGGCTACCCTACCTAACCCGGCTACCCTACCTAACCCGGCTACCCTACCTAACCCGGCTACCCTACCTAACCCGGCTACCCTACCTAACCCGGCTACCCTACCTAACCCGGCTACCCTACCTAACCCGGCTACCCTACCTAACCCGGCTACCCTACCTAACCCGGCTACCCTACCTAACCCGGCTACCCTACCTAACCTGGCTACCCTACATACCCGGCTACCCTACCTAACCCGGCTACCCTACCTAACCCGGCTACCCTACCTAACCCGGCTACCCTACCTAACCCGGCTACCCTACCTAACCCGGCTACCCTACCTAACCCGGCTACCCTACCTAACCCGGCTACCCTACCTAACCCGGCTTCCTACGGCTCCTACTAACCCGGCTACCCTACCTAACCCGGCTACCCTACCTAACCCGGCTACCCTACCTAACCGGTACCCTACCTAACCCGGCTACCCTACCTAACCCGGCTACCCTACCAACCCGGCACCTACCTAACCCGCTACCCTACCTAACCCGGCTACCCTACTAACCCGGCTACCCTACCTAACCCGGCTACCCTACCTACCCCGGCTACCCTACTAACCCGGTCTACCCTACCTAACCCGGCTACCCTACCTAACCCGGCTACCCTACTAACCCGGCTACCCTACCTAACCCGGCTACCCTACATAACCCGGCTACCCTACCTAACCCGGCTACCCCTACCTAACCCGGCTACCCTACCTAACCCGGCTACCCTACCTAACCCGGCTACCCTACCTAACCCGGCTACCCTACCTAACCCGGCTCTACCCTACCTAACCCGGCTACCCTACCTAACCCGGCTACCCTACCAACCCGGCTACCCTACCTAACCCGGCTACCCTACCATAACCCGGCTACCCTACCTAACCCGGCTACCCTACCTAACCCGGCTACCCTACCTAACCCGGCTACCCTACCTAACCCGGCTACCCTACCTAACCCGGCTACCCTACCTAACCCGGCTACACTACGAACCCGGTACCCTACATAACCGGCTACCCTACATAACCCGGCTACCCTACATAACCCGGCTACCCTACCTAACCCGGCTACCCTACCTAACCCGGCTACCCTACCTAACGCAGCTATTCTACATAACCCAGCTCTCTCAGCTGTCCCAGCTAAAGCCACAACCTCTGCTGCATTCCCCGAGCGTGCACAGCGGAGCCCCCTCAAACGTAGTGACACGGCGCGGGGGGCGTTGGTAGGCGGGGGGTGGGGGGGGGGGCGAGGGGGTTAGGGGGGGGGGAGCCCCCACCGGAGCTCGGCCTCCTCCGGCTGCTCCGCCTCTCGGCTCCGCCCGGCAACCGCGGCGGGGCCTGCGTGACGCGCCCAGGCCTCTCCTCGCCTAGTTGCTCGAACATGGCTTCCTCTCGCCGTCTTCGTTGGCGAGTGGGGCAGGGGGCAGGGGGCAGAGACAGGGGAGGAGAGGTGGGGGGGGGGGGGGTTACAGACGATTGACAAAACGCTTTCTCAACAACAAAGACCCTGGACCTCACGGGAAAGACGTCAGAATCCGGGCTCACGGGGCCAAGCAGGGCCAGGGGCGGGGGCTAACGACGTGTTTGCCACGCGCGCGTGACGTCAGCTGGCACGGCTCAGCTCCTGCAGTGGAAAAACAAACAAACTGGCGCCACCCTGAGGTCAGGGTAAGGGGGGGGGAGCCCTTACCGATCCAGCGCCTGTGCCGGCCCACCGAGTCCCATCTCCCCGAGTCGGTCCCCCAGACTCTTGAGCTGCAGGTAGAGGCTGGCGTCACGACGGCGCAGTGAGCGCTGCCGGGCAGAGACGGTGGGGAGGGTGGGGAGGAGATGGTGGGGAGGAGACGGTGGGGGGGAGGAGGTGGGGAGGAGACGGTGGGGGGGAGACGGTGGGGGGGAGACGGAGTAGACGGTGGGGAGGGTGGGGAGGGTGGGGAGGAGACGGTGGGGAGACAGTAGGGAGGGGACGGTGGGGGGGAGACATTAAGCGGTGACCACACCTTGAGCGATCAGCCGCTCACCCTCACCGCCGTCGACGTCGTGCAACTCAAATCGCCGCGACGCGACTGCTCTGTCCACATCTGGGCGGGCGGTTGCGCAGCCAAAAAGCGCTCCCAGAACGCCCGCCCTGAGGGCACGGGGCCTTGCCTGAGGGCACGGGTCTTGCCCTGAGGGCACGGGGTCTTGCCCTGAGGGCACGGGGCCTTGCCCTGAGGGCACGGGTCTTGCCCTGAGGGCACGGGGTCTTGCCCTGAGGGCACGGGGCCTGCCCTGAGGGCACGGGTCTTGCCCTGAGGGCACGGGGTCTTGCCCTGAGGGCACGGGGCCTTGCCCTGAGGGCACGGGTCTTGCCCTGAGGGCACGGGGCCTGCCCTGAGGGCACGGAGCCTGCCCTGAGGGCACGGGGCCTGCCCTGAGGGCACGGGTCTTGCCCTGAGGGCACGGGTCTTGCCCTGAGGGCACAGGGTCTTGCCCTGAGGGCACGGGGCTGCTGCCACCGCCTAACGGAGCCCTGGACGAACGCATCTCGGATAACGGAACGGCGACGGTGCTCGACTGAGGGTCATCTCAGATGCAAACGCCGAATGCGTCGATCAATTCATGAATTGATGAAATGCGGAGGGCGAGGAGGTGCAGGTTAACGTTACACCGTGAAGAGTGGAGGGGCTGGCGGGCGGGTGGTCGTGGAGAGAGGGGTCACAGCAGGCCGTGTTGGAGCTGCCCCCATGGCCTGCCCCCCCCCCCCTCGTCACACACGTGTCAGCTCGGGGTATGGATCGTTCATCAATCGGCCATCAGGGACCACGCGAATTCGTGTGGTTCCTGGTGGTGGTGGAGTGGTGGTGGGGTGGTGGTGGTGGTGGTGGGGGGTGGTGGTGATGGTGGTGGTGGTGGGGGGGGTGGTGGTGGTGGTGAGTGAGTGGTGGTGGTGGGGGGTGGTGGTGGTGGTGGTGGGGTGGTGGTGGGAAGTGATGGTGGTGGTGGTGGGGGGGTGGTGGTGGTGGTGTGGGGGTGTGGTGGTGGTGGTGGGGGGGTGGTGGTGGTGGTGGGGGTGGTGGTGGTGGGGGTGGTGGTGGTGGTGGGGGGGTGGTGGTGTGGGGGGTGGTGGGGGGTGGTGGGGTGGTGGTGGTGGGGTGGTGGTGGTGGTGGTGGTGGGGGTGGTGGTGGTGGGGTGGTGGTGGGGGGTGGTGGTGAGGGGTGGTGATGGTGGTGGGGTGGTGGTGGTGAGTGGTGGTGGTGAGTGAGTGGTGGTGGTGGGGGGTGGTGGGTGGTGGTGGTGGTGGTGGTGGTGATGATCTGAGTGGGTGGGGGTGGTGGTGTCGAGGCTGTGTGCTGCAGGAAGTGAGTTCTGTGTTGAATTATCGCAGCACGCCGCTGTGGTGGCGGCTCTGGGAGCTGCAAACTCGCGGATTCCACGCAGGGCAAAACTCCGAATCACTCCACATCATCTATGTATCACACATATATACACGATGAGAAGGGTGAGGTTTGTTCTTTTACACTACAAGAGGTCCCGCTACATTTGGCTGTTTGATGAAAAACGGTTCACGTCGCTTGCTTCGATTCGTTGTTGGGACGGGGGGGGGGGGAAGGAACCGAACCACGTGTCGGGATTGGAACCCAGGGAGCTCGAGGAGCGAGTGTTGCCACTGCGCCACCACCGCCACCACCGCCGCCACCACCACCACCGCCGCCCCCACCGCCGCCACTGCCACCACTACCACCACCGCCACCACCACCAACTCCACCACCGCCACCACCGCCACCACTACCGCCTCCACCACCAACTCCACCACCACCGCCACCACCGCCACCACTACCACCACCGCCGCCACCACCACCGCCGCCACCACCGCCGCCACTGCCACCACTACCACCACCGCCACCACCACCACCACCAACTCCACCACCGCCACCACCGCCACCGCCGCCGGCTGGCGTTGGAAAGGGGATCCGAGTTTTATTTTTACCGCGGGATAATTCGAGCCGCGGGGCAGCTGCCAGACACCATCACCAGCTCCCCCCGCCCCCCATCGCCTCGCGTCCCACCAACCCCTAGCTCCACCACCTTCCTCACCACCACCGCCCCTTCTACTGGGACAACCGCGACACTGCTGGACATTCCGTGCACAAAGAGCTTTACAGCTCATCGGATTCCTCTCCCCTCCCCCGCCGCCGTTCGCCCTGGGCCCCGTAACGTCACACAGCTCAAGGGCGGCGTGCCGACCCCTCCTCGTCTCGTGCACCTCCTCCGAGGGTGCCGTTACCGTGGTGGCCTCTTTTTGGGACGGGGTCAGAGGTCGTTGCGCCCAGAGGCCGCGACTGGAAAACCGAAAACTCATCACGAGGTGTCCCCGGGATGGAGCCGAGGGCTTTCAGAGACGTTCCAGACGGCAAACCGCTCAGAGCCTGGGCTCGAAACCGGGTGTGGGCCACTGCCTGCGATTGAACCGGGTCGGTCGAGGTCGAGTGAGCTGATGGTGGTCTCAGCCTGCTTGCTGGTAGCGACTCACGTAGAGACTCAGACTCACGTAGAGACCCATAGACTCACGTAGAGAGCCATAGACTCACGTAGAGACCCATAGACTCAAGTAGAGACCCATAGACTCACGTAGAGACTCAGACTCACGTAGAGACCCATAGACTCATGTAGATACCCATAGACTCATGTAGAGACCCATAGACTCATGTAGAGACCCATAGACTCACGTAGAGAGTCAGACTCACGTAGAGAGCCATAGACTCACGTAGCGAGCCGTAGACTCACGTAGAGACCCATAGACTTGCATAGATACCCATAGACTCATGTAGAGACCCATAGACTCACGTAGAGAGCCATAGACTCATGTAGAGACCCATATACTCACGTAGAGACCCATAGACTCACGTAGAGAGCCATAGACTCATGTAGAGACCCATAGACTCACGTAGAGAGCCATAGACTCATGTAGAGACCCATAGACTCGCATAGAGACCCGTAGACTCATATAGAGACTCATACGTACATATAGACCCATAAACTCACATAAAGACCCATAGACTCACGTAGAGACTCATCGACTCATGTAGAGACCCATAGACTCACATAGAGACCCATAGACTTACATAGAGACCAATAGACTCATGTAGAGACCCATAGATTTACATAGAGACCCATAGACTCACGTAGAGACCCATAGACTCGCGTAGAGACCCATCGACTCACATAGAGACCCATAGACTCACGTAGAGACCCATAGACTCATGTAGAGACCCATAGACTCACATAGAGACGCATACTTACATATAGACCCATAGACTCACCCAGAGATCCATAGACTCACACATAGACCCAAAGACTTATAAAGAGACCCATAGACTCACATAGAGATGCATAGACTAACACTGCCCATAGACTAGCACTGCCCATAGACTAACACTGCCCATAGACTAACACTGCCCATAGACTAACACTGCCCATAGACTCAACACTGCACCTCCGATTGGCTACGTACGGTGCGAAGAAGGTCAACAACATACACAAACAAAACAAAGATCCCCCATACAGCCTCAACAGACTGTCGGGGCAAGTGCTGTTAGCGAGCAGCACCTCTCAAGGCCGGCACGGCACACGAGGGGGTGGGTGGCCAGCACCACGCCCGGCCGCCTTTGTCTCCCTATAGTGGCGATATTTTCGCATCGCACCAGGTACTCGTTTGAGGCTGAGTCGACCTAGGGGACCGGTACCCCCAACTGTGCCAGGCTAGGTGCAGGAGGTAACGGGACATATCCAGCAGGTGGCTGATGCACCACCTGTGCCCCCTACTGTGCCAACTTGCTGTGCTTTAGCCACCCGGCGCCCCGCTCGTTGTTGTGAGCGTCGCTCCTCCGCCCTCCGTTGTTGTTGGAGGGCGACTGCCTCCAACTGCCCAGTAGCAGCGTCCTTCACGAGCCTCCTCCACTGAGGCCGATCTTGACACCGCTGGTACCGCTGGTACCAGTCATCGGCAAGTCCACTCAGCTCCACGTCCTCCTGTACCACATCACTCCATCTCTTCTCTAGCCCGTGCCGTGCCCGTCTAGCCCCCTCGATCCGGCCGAACAGAAGCTGTTTAGGCATGCGGTGGCTGGGCATGCGGGCTACATGACCCAGCCAACGCAGTCTTGCCTGCCGGAGGAGCTCACCGATGGGACTTTGCCCAGATCTTTCAAGGATCTGTGAGCTCCTCACACAATCCAGCCTGCTGGTTAAACCCAGGAAGGATCGTAGGCAGGGCCAGCATAAATGTTTCTAACCGGCGAAGATGCTTCATTAGGGGGGTGGGTCAACGTTTCGCAAGCGTAGAGAAGGGATGGCATTGACCGTGGCCGAGAAGACCCGAAGCTTCGTGCGGACCGACAGACCAGGTAGCTTCCACACAGCGTTACGCAACCGATGAAAATATAATGCACACGCACGTACACAAACACACGTGTGCGTGTGTGTACGTGTGCGTGTGTGTACGTGTGTGTGTGCGTGTACGTGTGTGTGTACGTGTGTGTGTACATGTGTGTGTGTGTACGTGTGTGTGTGTACGTGTGTGTGTGTACGTGTGTGTGTACGTGTGAGTGTATACATGTGTACGTGTGTGTGTAAGTGTGTGTGTACGTGTGTGTGCACGTGTGTGTGTGTGTACGTGTGTGTGTACGTGTGTGTACGTGTGTGTATATGTGTGTATGTGTGTGTACGTGTGTGTGTACGTGTATGTGTGTGTACGTGTGTGTGTACGTGTGTGTGTGTGTAAGTATGTGTGTGTACGTGTGTGTGTGTACGTGTGTGTGTACGTGTGTGTGTGTATGTATGTGTGTGTACGTGTGTGTGTACGTGTGTGTGTACGTGTGTGTATGTGTGTGTGTGTATGTGTGTGTAAGTGTGTGTCTGTGTACGTGTGTATGTGTGTGTGTATGTGTGTGTACGTGTGTGTGTATGTGTGTGTATGTGTGTGTATATGTGTGTGTATGTGTGTGTCTGTGTGTATGTGTCTGTGTGTATGTGTGTGTATGTGTGTGTATGTGTGTGTATGTGTGTGTATATGTGTGTGTACGTGTGTGTGTGTATGTGTGTGTCTGTGTGTGTACGTGTGTGTCTGTGTGTATGTGTGTGTAAGTATGTGTGTGTATGTGTGTATGTGTGTGTGTACGTGTGTGTGTGTATGTGTGTGTATGTGTGTGTGTGTATGTGTGTGTGTATGTGTGTGTGTATGTGTGTGTATGTGTGTGTGTGTATGTGTGTATGTGTGTGTCTGTGTGTGTACGTGTGTGTATGTGTAAGTGTGTGTGTGTATGTGTCTGTGTGTATGTGTGTGTAAGTATGCCTGTGTGTGTCTCTCACCAGCTGATCCCGCAGCAGCTCGAGCGCCTCTCCCAGCGGTCGCTCCGTGTCGCCGGGACCCCCCCGGGACCCCCCCGGGCTCGACCCCGGGCTCGACCCCGACGTTTCGGGCTCGGGGCCCCGCGCAGCCGTCAACTCGCAGTGGACGAGGCGGTCCTGGCGCTCGCGCAGGACGCGCAGCTCACACAGAGCCGCCACGGTCGCCTCCAGCCGCTCCGACATCCTCACTCGCTCTCGTCTCAACATCGCCACGACCACGGGGGTGGTGGTGGTGGTGGGGGGTGGTGGTGGTGGTGGTGGGGGGGTGGTGGTGGTGGGGTGGTGGTGGTGATGGAGTGGTGGTGGTGATGGGGTGGTGGTGCTCGTTGTTGTGATGGTGATGATGTTGGAGGGGTGATGGCGGTGATGACACTGGAGGTGTAGGAAGTGCTGTTGATGATGGTGGTACTGATGGTGATGCCGGTTGTGATGGTGATGCTTGAAGTGATTGAGATGATGATGGTGGTGGTGGTGGTTCTGCTGCTGGTGGTGTTGGCGATGTTGCCAGCAAGCGACGGTGTTGACTTGTCGTTGCTTGCTGTAGTTGATGCGACTTCTGCGGCTACTGTTGACGACGCTGTTGCTTCTGCGATGTTGCTCTCACTCCTAATGATGCTGCTGCTGCTGCTTCTGCGATGTTGCTGCAATCGTTGTTGGTGCTCATTTGACAGATAATGATTCTTGCCCCTGCTCTTGCTGTTGCTGTTGCAGCTGCTGTTGCTGCTGCGAACGCGGCTGCTGTTGCAGATACAAATGTTGATGCCGCTTATGAGATCGCTGGTGCTGCTGCTGGCTTGCTGTCACTGATGACGGCGCTGCTGATGATGATGATGAGTGTTGTTGGTGGTGGTGGTGGTGAGGGTTTCTCGCAGACTGCATGGGCGATTATAAAAGAAACCACAACGCATGCGGCCCCAGTCTCCCCCTCTCTCTCTCTCTCCCTCTGTCTCTCCCTGTACCCCCCCACCTCCTATCTCCCCCCCTCTCTCTCCCTGTGCTCCCCCCCCTTCCTCTCTCTCTGCCCCCCCCCTCCTATCTCCATCCCCCTCTCTCTCCCTGTGCGCCCTCTCCCCCCTCTCTCCCTCCCCCTGTCTCTCCCTGTGCCCCCCCCCCCTTCCTCTCTCTCTGCCCCCCCCCGTGTCTCGTCCTTCTCTTCAATATGCGGAGCGTGGCGGCGCGGAGCCGCCTACAGACGCACGTGGAGACGGGGGGAGTGTGTGAGTGTGTACGTGTGTGTGTGTGTCGGGGTGTGTGTGTGTGTGTAGGGGAGTGTGTGTGGGAGTGTGTGTGTGTGTGTCAGAGTGTGTATGTGTGTAGGGGTGTGTGTGTAGGGGTGTGTGTGTGTAGGGGAGTGTGTGTAGGGGTGTGTGTGTAGGGGAGTGTGTGTAGGGGAGGGTGTGTAGGGGAGGGTGTGTGTGTGTAGGGGTGTGTGTGTGTAGGGGTGTGTGTGTGTGTAGGGGAGTGTGTGTGTGTAGGGGAGTGTGTGTGTAGGGGAGTGTGTGTGTGTAGGGGAGTGTGTGTGTGTGTAGGGGAGTGTGTGTGTGTAGGGGAGTGTGTGTGTGTAGGGGAGTGTGTGTGTAGGGGAGTGTGTGTGTGTAGGGGAGTGTGTGTGTGTAGGGGAGTGTGTGTGTGTGTGTAGGGGAGTGTGTGTGTAGGAGAGTGTGTGTAGGGGAGTGTGTGTGTAGGGGAGTGTGTGTGTAGGGGAGTGTGTGTGTGTGTAGGGGTGTGTGTAGGGGAAGGTGCTCGCTAACAGCACTTGCCCCTACAGTCTGTTAAGGCTATTCGGGGGATCTTTGTCTTTGTGTAGGGGAGTGTGTGTAGGGGAGAGTGTGTGTAGGGGAGTGTGTGTGTGTGTAGGGGAGTGTGTGTGTAGGGGAGTGTGTGTGTGTGTAGGGGTGTGTGTAGGGGAGTGTGTGTAGGGGAGAGTGTGTGTAGGGGAGTGTGTGTGTGTGTAGGGGAGTGTGTGTAGGGGTGTGTGTGTAGGGGAGTGTGTGTAGGGGAGTGTGTGTGTGTGTGTAGGGGAGTGTGTGTAGGGGAGTGTGTGTGTGTGTAGGGGAGTGTGTATGTAGGAGTGTGTGAGTGTATAGGGGTTTGTGTGTAGGGGTGTGTGTGTGTGTGTAGGGGATTGTGTGTGTAGGGGTTGTGTGTGTAGGGGATTGTGTGTAGGGGATTGTGTGTGTAGGGGAGTGTGTGTGTGTGTGTGTAGGGGAGTGTGTGTAGGGGAGTGTGTGAGTGTGTGGGGGAGTGTGTGTGTGTAGGGGAGTGTGTGTGTGTAGGAGTGTGAGTGTGTCGGTGTGTGTGTGTGTGTAGGGGAGTGTGTGTAGGGGTGTGAATGTGTGTGGGGGAGTGTGTGTGTAGGGGAGTGTGTGTGTGTAGGGGAGTGTGTGTAGGGGAGTGTGTGTGTGTAGGGGAGTGTGTGGGGGAGTGTGTGTAGGGGAGTGTGTGTAGGGGAGTGTGTGTGTGTAGGGGAGTGTGTGTGTGTGTAGGGGAGTGTGTGTAGGGGAGTGTGTGTGTGTAGGGGAGTGTGTGTGTGTGTAGGGGAGTGTGTGTAGGGGAGTGTGTGTGTGTAGGGGTGTATGTGTGTGTGTAGGGTAGTGTGTGTAGGGGAGTGTGTGTGTGTAGGGGAGTGTGTGTAGGGGAGTGTGTGTGTGTAGGGGAGTGTGTGTGTGTGTGTAGGGGAGTGTGTGTAGGGGAGTGTGTGGGGGGGGGGTGTATGGGGAGCGGTAGTGCAGCGGTTATCGCGCTGCGCTATAAACCTGGCGACCCTGGTTCGATTCCCGCTCACGGCCAACACAGGTGACGATTATCTGAACCGGCCGTGAGCCTCCTCTAGGTCGACTCAGCCTCAAATGAGCACCTGGTGCGATCTGCAGCAAACATCGTCGCTGGGAAGACAAAGGCGGCCGGGCGTGGTGCTGGCCACCCACCCTCTCGTGTGCCGTGCCGGCCTTCACAGGTGCTACTCGCTGACAGCCACATGCCCCAACAGTCTGTCACAGGCTACACGGGGGATCTTTGTCTTTGTGTCTCTCTGTGTGTGGGGCGCAGGGCTGAATATTAAATGCGAGTGCACGTGGCTTCTGTTTGTTTTCATGAGTGCGCGACACGCGCGCGGAATATTACAGAGAACTCCACCACGGATGCCACCACCACTACGGTCATAACCACCAAAATACCACCACAATGCATATTGAAACCGCTGCTATAACCACGAACGCCACCACCACTACCGTAACTAGCATAACCATGACTAATACTCGATATATCTTGTTGTAACTTGCTAACCCGCCCCATCCTGGACATCTCTGTTGACAAAGAGCTTCATAGCTCATCGGATTCCTTCTCCTCCTGCAGCAGAAGCCAAAATCAAGATTCCGATAACCATTACCAACACCACAACTGCCACTACCGCTAAAATGTTAAGATATAATACCTCAATACTACTACATTGTGGGCGCCACGGTGGCTAGATGTTAACTACCTCGCCTGGTGTGCAGGAGGTCGTGGGTTCGATTCAGCGCCTGACGCCTGCTGCTGTATATTTGGAGTTTGCGTGTCTCTCTCTCATCATCATCACGGTGGCTATGAGATGTTAACTACCTCACCTGGTATGCAGGAGGTCGTGGGTACGATCCCGACCCTGACGATGCCTGCTACTGCTGTATATTTGGAGTTTGCGTGTCTCTCATCATCATCACGGTGGCTATGAGATGTTAACTACCTCACCTGGTATGCAGGAGGTCGTGGGTACGATCCCGACCCTGACGATGCCTGCTACTGCTGTATATTTGGAGTTTGTGTGTCTCTCTCGCTCCCTGTGGTTGTGGATTTTTCTCCAGGTCTCTCTCTCCCTCCACATTTAGAATCAAAGGTCGACTATTATATATTTATTTTGAAAGCCGGATACTTGTTACTGACGAATGCATTGGGCGTTGTATGATGATAACACTTTTAATGTGAACGGCACCAGACATTCCTCAGGATAATCTCAAATACACTCTGCTCGTCATACTACAGTACGTGTAGTGACACAGCGCTGTTGTACAGCAGCTGCAACTGCAGGTGGACACTGGGTGCCGGCAGGGCGGAGGAACTGGGGCAAGGGCAGAGGTCGCAAACGGGTTTTGATTCCTTACCCGTACCTGTACTCGGCCGCACCAGGGTCACAAATGGGTACCCATACCCGGCTGGGTACGGGTAGCCGTTCCCTACCCGTACCCTACCCGAAATGAGTGACAAACAGTTACTCACCAGTGACTCACGGCCTACCCGTACCCGGCCGCACCAGGGTCGCAAACGGCTACCCGTACCTGGCCGGGTACGGGTAGCCGGGTATCGGGTAGGGTACGGGTATCGGGTACCCGGTTGCGACCTCTGGGCAAGGGTCACAGTAGACCTCGTGGGGAGGCCCCTGGATCACCCTCTGGAGGGTTCGGGAGGCGTGACCAGGGGCGGAGCCAAGCCGCGCCGAGGGGAATAAAAGCAACGGAGAGCGGGGAGCTCTGGGCTGCCGGTTCTGGGAGTGGACTCGTCGTCTTCGCCGCCTTCGCCCGATCATCGCGCGGCCGGACAGCGCTTGACTGTCCCGGTCGACGCCGTCGGTGCAACGCGGACGGGGTCGTGTCTGGGCCGTGCGGCAGCGTGGTCGCGAGAGAGGGGGCCGGAGTCGGTGGCGTGGACTCAACAACAATGACGGTGCCTCCCGCGACTGACAACCTCGTCTCGGACTGAGTGTGCGCGCGACACACGCCACCCACACACACACACAAGCCTCGAGGAGAAGGAAGAAGAGACCTACGACACCGCACATGCACTGTGACGTTTAGCACAGGCACCGTGTACATGTCACGGTACTTGATTTGTAAATGTTGTAGTGGGTTTACTCTCCAACACACAATCGGTGTGTGCTGTACTCGTCACGAATTGGCACATTTTGTTATTACACGCTTCTATGTAACTCACTCGGTCTTGTTGTCACATCCTCAAATCTTGTAACTCAATTTTAACCCACTTCCCAATGTGCTATCGACTGCAAACTTGGTATACTTATGTCATACTGATGACAATACTATATTATATCATTTAAAAAATAAATAAAAAATTTCAAACAATCTTTTTTATATGTTATGTTTCGGCTTCGGTCTAATTGTCCACGCTCAACTGACGTTGGCTGTAAATCACCACGGCAACCTTACGTTGTGGCAAGCCTCGGGGCCACTTCCTGGAGTCGTGGAGTTCTGCCATTACTCGTACGGTGCATTTAATTAAAGCGTGTTTAAAAAAAAAGTATTTTTAAATATTACTTCTTTACGTGACACCTCACTAATTGGTTAATACCTCAGATGGCTTTGCCTTGGTAGGATGGGAATGGTTCAGTTGAGTCCGCACGTGTTTGGGTGATCTGTTTACCTTTCTCGTTACCTTGTACTGCTGTCGTGTTTTGCTGGCTGGAGGGCTGGCTGGCATGCAGACACGTGCGCGGTGATGACGTCACCCGCACCCCCCCCTCCCCCCACAGCATTGAGCCGGGTTCGTGCGTCACGCTGACGTCACATAGGCCCTCCAGCCCGGCCATGTTACTCCGCGCAAATCAAAAGTTTCGCTGGCTGGACGGACTGACGCATTGACGGCCACGTCCGAAAAGCACGGCGCAGGCGGCGACTTGGTAATAAAACATTTTTTTTTTAAACAAGCAAACCACAAAACCAACACTTTATTTTAAAAAAAAAAACGAATTCGGTAACAAAACGGACATTTACCAACATGATCACCGGGCAAGATGGCGGAAGGGGCCACCGCCCATGACACCCCGAAATACTGCGTCGCGAATAACGACGACGACACGCGACACGTGACGACTACGACGACGACGACGTCACCGGCACAGCCAATGACATCCAAGTTCCACACCCGAGCCGGAGAGCGCTCGCCCGACACTTGGGGTCG